CAATCCACTGAGCCATGCCAGCCAGGGCACCAATTTGTACTGAATCCCCTCACCTTTCCACAGAGTCCTGGACCCCCTCCCACTGGCAGCCATCAGTCTGTCCTCCATCTCTCCAAGTCTGGTGTAGGCCTTTCACTGGGTCCTTCAGATTGCACTCAGTCAGCTCCGGCCCTTCCCCCACTGCCGCTGCCTTTTTCCAGAAGCAGCTGCATGTCTGGGCTTGTCCAGACTGGGTTTCCAGACACAGACAGAAGCCCTGCCCCCACCCCAGTCTGACCCCATCGCTGAGCTCTGGGAGGTGGTGGTGTCCCCCATTAAACAGGTGCCTGAAACTGAGACCCACAGAGGGAGCCATGACTGTAATCCCCCAGACCCCCACACGCCGCGCCAACCCAGGGCTCTGAGGTCCCACCTCGTCCACTGGCCTGACCCTTCCACCCGCCCACGACCATAATCCAATGATCTATAATTACAAGTGAGTTGGGTGAGCCGGCCGAGCAGAGCTGGGGCTGGGGCAGGGGCAGGGGGTGGGGATTCTGATCTCCCCCGTCCCAGGGGAAGGCGGTGACTTGCTTGGGACGATTTTCAGAGAGAAGACACTTGAGCCCACAGTTGTTGAGGCTGAAGGAGCACCAGGTGCCTGCTGAGCTGAGCGGCTGGGAAGGCTTGTCGCCAGCCCCCCACCACCCCCAGAGGTGGTCTCGGCCGGCTCTCTCCCACCTCTGGGCAGGGCTGCTGCCAGACAAACCCGCCCGCCAGCTGCAGCCTTCTGTGCGGAGACCTTGAGCTTGTCTCCAGTCCTCAGTGTCCCTGCCCCACAGATGCAGTGGAAGGGGTGAAGGGCAGCTGAGTGGTGGGGAGGCCTGTTGGAGCCCATACAGGGAGCTCCCGGCTCCCCACAGAAAGCACCTCCCTGGAGGGTGGGCTTCTCCCTGCAGGGCCTGCTTCTCCTTTGTTGAAAAGGTTGATGAGCGAGTAGCTGACCATTCCGGGAAACTGCCCCAGGCTGGGTGGGGCAGAAACACCTAGATCAACTCAGAAACTCTCACGTGGTGGTCACAGTAAGGGCCTGCTCCACCTCCGCCCACCAGCGAGGTGCGTCAGGCCAAGAAGAGGCCCCAGGCGAGAAAGGTCCCTTGCCAGCTGGAGCACGAGCTAGACCCAGTCCAGAGTTCTCCACAGGCATCCCTGCCCTCGATCCTTCAGGCAGCTGTGAGGCAGGGGTTCCCCTGGGCGGATGGCTCCCAGACCGGGGTTTCTTCACCTGGGCATTACCGGGGTTCGTGTAGCCTGTGCTGTGCGTGGAGAATATTGAGCGACATCCTCAGCGCCCGCCCCCCCGCCCACTAAATGCCGATAGGACACCCATACCCCTCACCCCAGTTTTAACAACCAAAAATGTCTCCAGGTGCCGCGGAATGTCCTCGGGATCAAACTGTCCCTATTTGAGAATGGCTGTCTTAGAAAACAGGGGTCCACGGACCTGGATTATCTGCCTTTCTTGCTGCTGCCTCTTGTGGGGAAACGTCCCCTTTGAAAATCTCTTCCTAGAGCAAGCCTCCCACCTGCCCCTGGACACCAGGTGCTCATTCACCGAGTCACTGTGGAGAACATTGCTTACAGCGAGCACAGGCCCGGGAGGAAAGCCGCTGAGTCAACGGCCCTCAGCCCCCTGACCCCCACGCAAGGCCGGGGGGGCCTGGTGGTGGGTCCGGCGCTCTGGCAGAGGGACGTGAGTGAGGGTGGGGCTGTTGCGAGAGGAGGGGCCTGCCCTTTTTGGACATCTGACGTGTGGCCCCGCCCCTGCGTGCCCAGCAGGCCTGAAGCGGGCGGCGGTGCCCGGCCAACGTGCTGAACTTCTTCCGTCATCACCTTGCAGGTGGGTCGCCCTGACTCACGGCCACTGGATGTGACCGGCAGTTGTCTCCTCCCAGATGTGTCCAGTGGCTGAGTGACCTCTACGTTCACCCTGACTTACCGGCCGCAGGAGGCAGGGGGATGGGCCTGGTGAACTAGGAGGCGGCCTTGGGTTCTGGGTTCTAGAACGTGATGATGGGGCAGTGGGGGAGGAGCTTCAGCTCCAGGAACTTCCGCCTCCCATGCTCTGGAGCACGTTGTCAAGACACCTGGAACCTGGTGCCGGCTGTGAGCTCTCATGCTAGCTCTCCGGGCCTCATCCCCAGTCCGTGAGATGGAGGGCATGGGCGGGAGGATTTCTAATAATCCACACGCACGGAGTCCTGTGTGACACAGCTTTTACATCCATTTAGTTCATGCAATGCTCTGTGAGCCAGGGGCTGTAACTATGATCCTCATTTTACAGCTGAGGAAGCTGAGCTCAGAGAAGTTAATTAACTTGCCCAAGGTCACACAGCCAGTAAGTGGAGGGGGCCCTTCAAGCACCCAGGTCTGACCCAGAGGCACTGCTGAGGACAGCAGTAGCTCAGGTGAGAAACCAGCTGACTGGGGCAGTGGCAGTGAGTACCAAGGAAAGCGACGGGAGGGTGACCTGCAGAGCAAGAAGGAGCAGGACCAGGCACCCACGACAGTGTGGGCAGGAGTTGATGACTCACAGGCTTGGAGCGGAGGGGTTGGGAGGGGGCGCTATTAATAGAAATGGGGAAGTCTAGAGGCGGAGCAGGTTCAGGGCGAGAAGACGACGAGTGCATTCTTAGACCTGTTGAAGTTGATTTGCTACTAGTGGGACGTGGAGGCCAGGATCCAGTTCAATTAGGAAAATTCAGCACATAAAAAAGTACCTCCAGCTGCCAACAACCATCTTACCAAAATCAAATCCCCAAACCTGGCTCTGGGAGGCAAGGCCACAGGATTGGATCCGCAGCAGCCAGTACCCCGGCCCAAGTTCAAGTCCCCCACTGGCCGCTGGGGGGCACCACTGGTGCACAGACCTCGGTGCGGCTGCCCCGACAGTGCCTGCCTTGGGGTAGACCTAGGGGGACACGGCGGGTTGTACACAGCCAAGCTACCCGCTGGCGGGGCGGGCAGAGGATTCTAACTCCCTTTTTTGGGGAAGGGAGAAAGGAGGTCTCACCACCCGCTGAGCGGCTGATCCCCGCCCCCAGGTACTGGCAACGCCATTTCAAAGGGGTTTCTGTTGATCTGGGAACCGGGAGGAGGAAGAGGGAGTGGAGCCCCCTTTCCCAAGTGTGTGTTGGGGACCAGCCTGGGGGGCACCTCCGTGTCCAGGGCACTGGAGGCTGGCGACCTCCGGTGGCTGGCAGAGCCCGGGGGAAAAAGATCCCAGCCGTTCCAAAGCAACGCGTCTCCCCTGACATTTGCGTCAGCAGCTCTGCCCTTTGACTTTTAATTCCTGGGAGTGGAGGGTGGAGGCGACCTTGGCAATCAGGACTCATTATTTGCAATTCGATTCAACCAGCAGTTATTGGGGTTAGGCCTGGCTGCCTGCCCTCCTCGCCGCCTCCCACACGCCAGGTTTAGGGCCTGGGTCTTGCTGGGAAGAACAGAGGGCAAGAGTGGTTCCACCTGGAAGGCGCCTTCTGCTCCCGATCTCTGGGGCATCCCGAGGAAACGGACGCCTATAAAAGTGCTCTGAGACCTCCAGAAGGACGGGGTGTCGCCAGGCTCCCACCGGCCAGCATCCAGCTGCATCACGGCCCGTTGGCTGGGACAGGGGTGCGGCCAGGTCAAGAGGCGCTGGCCTCCCAGCCACCGGGTTCAGGCGGTGGTCAGAAGGGGTGGGGGCGGGGTTAGGCACCGAGAAGCCAGTGGGGCACCGCAGGCCCGTTCCCCCTCGGTGTCCCGTGGCCCTCTATATTTGGCGTTGGCAGCACCAACGTGTTCTAACTGAGGCGGGGGGGCGCAGCCTGACCTATGACGTCTCCTCTAGGGCCCGGGCTATTTTGGAACCAGCCTTGAGGGCTCTGGGGAAGGCAGAGGGAAGTGTGAGGGAACATTTCCTCCTGGCCCCGTGCCAGAGAAGAGGCTGAGGGTGTGCGGTTCAGAGACTGGGCCCTGAGGCCTGTCTCCAAATCCCCAGGAAGGTTCCTCCGAGTTCCTTCTGCTCAGGTTTCCTGGGGATGCCTGGGCTCCGGGGCTGGGGGGCGGGAACCTCACCCCTTCTTCCCCCGGATTTTTCCAGCTACTCGGATATCACCCCTTGGCTAAAAACAACCCCTTCCCTGCCAGGCGCCCCTGGAGGACTAGGAGCTAGGAGCGGGCTCTGCAGTTCCCAGTCTTTCACTTTCTCAGGTCACTGCTATTTTTACAAAAACGACTTAGGATCTGACAGTGGTCACCAGTTTTTCATGTTGCTGAGTTAAGGACCTTGAAAGGAAGTGTCCAAGGAAAGGCCCTTTTAAACACGTGTGTGTGCGCATGTGCACCCACAGTTGAAAACACACATGGGGGCACAGTTCTAGCTTCATGAAAACCTCACTGTGTTGTTTGCTGGTTTGTGTTTTTGCCGCAAGCAGATGAGAACATGGCAACAGCTGGCCCTGGGTGCCCCATCAATGGGCTCGTGTTCCAGGAACTGCCGGTCCCTTCCACTTCTCTACTGGGCCCAAGGCCAAGGGCAGCCAGCGGGGGCCCCCTCCCCAGCCCTTTCTGTCCAGTGTGCCCATGCAGCAGCCACTTCTGTCCCCTTACTTCTTCCCAGCCACCCCACCCCCACTGTCTGCAGGAGGGGAGGGTAGGGAGCGGTCTTCTCACTGCTCCTGGGTAACAGGGCAGGGAGCCTGGTCACACGGCTGCCCCACGGGTGGGGGCCTGGCCCGGAGAAGTCCTGGGCCCGCTACGCTCCTCTGAGAAGGGGTACTGCTGGGGAGGGGTGTCCGGACAGAGGCTGGGGACCTGGGACCACTTCTGGGCCCTGCGATCTGAGGCCACCCCAGCACTCCCCCCTTCCCCAAGCTGCAGTGTCTGGTTCTATAAAATGGGCATGTCGGCTCCTCATCAAAGGGCTAGGGGGAGGATTAGACAGGAGAAGGTTTGTGAAAGTACTCTGTGAACTATAAAGCTTAGGCTGGGGTAGTTATTATTACCATTATTATAGGAAACTAGTAAATGGCTGAAGAAAGGGCACCCCAAAAGCTGATCTCAGCTTCTGGGTGTGGACAGTGCTCATTGTCACCCCAGGTCCATGACCTTGGGGCCTCTCCACATGCACAAGGGGTGAAGTGAACCTGATCCCCACTGGTCAGGGTGGCCGGGCCTGCACAGGGCATTCCGCCCCAGACGGGGCCCAGTCTCTGGCTTGTGTTTGGAGAAAGGGTCTGACATTGGTTAAGGCTCCTTGCGGTAGCGTCATTGATGTCCACCTCCCCCCACATTGTAGAGAAGTTCGTGGAAGGCCCCCCCACCCCAAGAAGGAGGCCCTTTTTGGTGGGACGAGGAGAATCAGGTCTAAGGATCCAGACAAAGTCCAGTGCCTCCACTTCAAGGCATTCAGGGGAGCGATTTTTAAGAACTACTCGCCACGCGTCCACTGTCGCTATGGGGCGGAGCGGGAAACTCCTGGCCCACGTTTGCAGGCCAGGTCCACACTTGCTGTAGCTGTGCGGCTTCAGACACGTCCCTCTGCCTCTTTGGGCCTCAGTTTACTCATCTGCAAAATAGGGAGAAAAGTCTTACCTCACGGGGTCGCTGTAAGCTCCTGTGAGACGGCTAGTGAAAACTCCTGGAGAGTGCTCAGTTCCCCCCAAACCAAGGGGACCCCAGGAAATGTGAGCCTGGGGCTGCGATGCTTCCCCACCCAGCGTGGATCCCCAGGCCTCGCCCCCAGCAGGGGCCAGTGGGGAAGGTTTCACTGCCCCCCGGCCAGGCCCCGGCTCCCTCCTCACTGCCCCCAGCTGCTCAGCAGCTAACTGTCATGAAGTCATTGCCACCTTCCCCAGCCGGCCCCCCTCCCAGGCCCCGTGCTGACATGCCGTTTGGCAAAGAGGTTGGAAAAGCCGCTGACTCTTCCAGAGCCAGAGTTCATTGACTGGTCAGGGCCTGCCGGCCACACGCTGACCATGTGGTCAGAGGGGGTTTACGGAGCAAACCTTCAGGCTTTCTAAAGCCCCTCCTCCGACACACACCCCCCTCTGTACGCACACCTGGACCTATACATGTATGGCCCCACACACACACACAGTCCACACTTGTATGCACACTACCTCCTTTCCCTGCAACACAAACAGTCCTCTGCACACACCGAGATACACACTCCCTCCTGGGTACATGAAGCTTTACCCAGCCACCTACCTGCAAGGGCACGCTCCTCCCCATACGTGGCTGCAAGCACGTCCTGTGCGCCTGCGCCAGCAGACGAGTACCCGGCGCTTCCTCACCCATGGGCATGCGCTGTTGGCCCCCACCAGCAAGCCATCTACGCTCAGCTTCAGCCACTCCTGACCCACCCCCCCCCCCCCCCCGCCTGTGTCCCTGGAGCTCTCGGGCTGAGACAGACTAGGAGTGTGGGCAGGTCTCCGAGTCCCCAGACCAGCGTCCCAGAGCAGTGATCACCCCAGCCAAACCCTTCATTCCTATAGGCAGAAACCGTGGCCCAGAGAGGGCAGGGGGATGGTCCCGTCACACAGCGGAAGTTCTCCCAGGCGCTGCATTCAAAGTGTCCGAGACCTTGGCAGAAAAGGGAGGAAGCGTCCAGGCCCCTCCCTCCCTCGCCACTGCCCTCTTCCAACCGCCCAACTCTGCTCCGCCCTGCACCGGGCAGAACCGGCCCTCAGCCGGTCCCAGGCACAGGGCTTCCTCCAGGATGGCTGCCAAGATTGGGTGCTGCGTGAGCCTTTCACAGTCTGCCCTGGTGCAAGGTCGTTGGAAGCTGCAGGGGCGGGCTCCCACCGTTGGGACAAAAGTCTTCATGGGCTTGGGATGGTAACCCTCAGGGGGTCTCAGCTGCCCACAGCAAATCCTCAGCCCAAGGCTGCAGTCCCGATACCCGCCCTCAGCCGGCACCTTGTTCCCTACCTCGGTCTGCCTCCTAGGACTCAAGACCCTGGGCCACTGCCTGGAATGTGGGTACATCCAGGGACCCCAGGCTCCTGGGACTGACTCTGTCCCCGAGGCTGTCAGTTCACAAAGGTAAGGATTTCTGCCTGGAAGGGTGCCTGGCACCTAGTAGGTGCTCAGCAAAACATGTTGGATGAATGAAGGGGCTCGTCCCCCTCGCCAGCCTCCCTTCACAATGGCTCCTCTGGGCCATGACCAGGAATCCTGGCATCCGGTTGTTTCCCATCCGACGGGAGCTAGGAACCCGCCATAGGTGGCTGTGTGACCTTGGACCAGTCACTGCCCCTTTGAGCTTCAGCTGCCGCCCAGGAAGGAGGGGCTGAGCTGGGGAAAATGCAGTGTGTCTGTCCTGTGTGATTCCTGGGACCATGCCTGAGGGTGAGGGCGTCCAGTCTCCAGCACTGCCGCCTCCCTGCTGACTCTGAAGAAGACACCTGTGTGGGCAGACCCAGGCTGGGGAGCCCTGCATTGTAAACATAACTTCCTGCCACAAAAGACCAATGTTTTCAACCTGGGAGGCAACAGAACAAGAGTGGATCTCACACCTTCCCCCAAACCGCACCCACCTGCCCCAACTCACACGTGGCCGGGTCCACCGGAGGGAGCCACAGGGTGCTGCCTCTGGGTCAACATCCTGCTTCCTGCAGGGCCCTGCAGCGAGGCCGGTGGGGCGGGCACACAGAGAGCTGCTTGTTCGCTGTGGGTGGCGAGATGCTAATCGCAGCGGATCGCTGGGCCCCAGCTGAAGGTCAGGAGGTAAGGCGACCCGGGGTTATAAATAACCTCGCTGTGCTGGGGCCGGCAGGCCGAGGGCAGCGCTGGGGCCGCGCCCCTCAGTGGCCAGGGTAGGATGGATTACTGCCCTCCCAGTCCCGCTCTGCTGCAACCTGAACCCCTGGAGCCCCAGCGCCACGACCTCTGGGGGTGAGGTGCAAGGTCAGAGGAGGCCCCTGGGCTTCCCTTGCCGCCAGTGGAGGAGAAGCAGGTGCCCCCCGCCCTCCCCTGCCTACTGCGAGGTGGGCGGGGGTGGGGAGCTGAGGTGCGGACAGCCCCACCTGCCATCCCCCTCCCCCTCTCAGGGGACTGAGAGTGCTGAGCAGCTTGGGATGTAACTGGGCACCCCAGACACCTGCGTTCCCCCTCCCTTTGGGCGTTAGAAAGAGGTGGATTTGACCTGCTCCAGAATGCTTTTCCCCCTTCTTAACTATTTTATTGGAGTCAAATATGCACACAGAAAACTGTGTAAATCAAAGAGTGCAGCTGGATGGATTGGCACAGGCTGGGCCAGCCCGTGGAGCCAGCACCCAGGTCGAAACACGGCCCCTCGCGGGCACCCGGAGAGCCGGTGGACACCTTCCCTTCGGACCGCGGAGCTAACCTCTCTCCTGACCCCTGACCTCGTAGGCTGCCCCTCCCCCACCGCCGGCCTGCTTCCAGCCGCACCCCGTGTGCTCTCCTGCGTGTCTGCTTTCTTTTGCTCAATAGTATGTTCGTGAGAGTCACTCGCACAGGGGCCGGCTGTCCTCATGCCTGGTAGCTCGCCATCGTGTGGCTCTGTCGCAACGCTTTCCCCATTCCAGTGTGGACAGACGCCGCGGAAAGTTCCAGGTCCTGGCCATCCTGCGTGGCCCCACCGTGGAGGTTCTGGTTCCTGTCCGTCGTGAATATAGGGACCCATTCCTGCTGGTCCCTTTGTTCAGAAGGGATGGCCAGCCAGGGGTGTGCATCTGTTCAGTTTTGGAAGATCCAGGAAGTATTTCTCTGTAATCAACATTTGAATAAGAATGATTTTGCTAGGGAAGTTTTGTTTTTCATTCTAAAAAAAATGAGGGCTGTGCAATATTTTTAAGAATTGGAAACCTGACTGGCGTAGCTCAGTGGATTGAGCACGGCTACAAACCGAAGTGTCACAGATTCGATTCCCAGCCAGGGTGCATGCCTGGGTTGCAGGCCATGACCCCCAGCAACCGCACACTGATGTTTCTCTCTCTCTCTCTCCCTCCCTTCCCTCTCTAAAAATAAATAAATAAAATCTTTTTAAAAAATAAAAATAAATAAAAGAATTGGAAAATACAGAAAGAAAAAAAAATCACTCAGGGTTACCACCTAGAGTCACCCAGTCAACCAAACGGTCAGCGGACGTGTCCTGAGAGCCCCTTCCCCGTCAGACCCTGGACCCAGACCCGGGTCCTCCGTCAGGGAGTCTTTCCACGTTCTGGGGCCAGGTCAGCAGTGGCAGTGCCAGGGGAGAGACCGAGGGGCCTCGGCACCCTTTGTGACCTCCCTTGGCGACCCCTCGCCCACAGCAACCACTCTCATAAAGTCCAAACAGCCCGGCAGCCTTGCCGTTTACCCAGGACTGAAGACCGAGGCCTAGGCCTCCCACCAGCCAGGCCACACCCCAGGGACCCAGAAGGGGAGGTTGAGATGGCAGCAGCACCATTAACTGTAATCATGCTGAGGGCAGCCAGAGATGGGAGGGGCGGGTGTTGGGGCTGCCCTGAGAGCAGCTCACAGAGGAAGGAAACCCTGGGAGGTGCCGCTGGGGCGGAGCGGGGCCAGGCAGGCCCATCTGGACTTTGGGCTGTGGCCTGAGGACCATAGACAGGGGTTAAGCGGAGAGGAGGTCAGGTGTACTCGTCAGCAAGGTCTCTCTGGATCCCTGCGCAAACCGGCTCCTGGTGAGACAAGGGCAAAGACCAGAGATCTTGGGGACCTTGGGCTGATAAGAAGGGGGGCAGTGGGATGGGAGAAGGGGGGACTGAGGGGATGCGTAGGTGTCCTGGAGGGAGCTGCTCCTGGCCGGCTCTGGGGCATGGGGAGCAGGAGGCTTCCGGGAGACATGAGGGTTCAGTCTCACGGAGGGAAGCTGCAGGTTTGGGGGAAGCTGTGATCCATTCTGTGGGGTGTTGATGGATTTCCTTTCCATCTTCAGCAGCACCGGCGTAGGTCTAGAGCCAAGTCGGCTGGACCTGAGAAGGTCTGAGCTGGTCCTGGGGGACTCGGTCCTGGGGGACTCTCGGAGGCGAAAGACAGTCATTCATTCATTGGACAAAAAACTTGGAGGGTGGGGCTTGTCAAAGGGGCACTGGAGCTGAGCGAAAGAGCCCGCAACAGCCAAAGCTGAAACAATTTGAGCAACGGAATAAAGTATCATTGGGTTATAACTCAAATGTAAAATAAATATCCACGAATCTGTGATAAAACAGTGATTGGCTAAATCAATAAATGGGGAGAAGATAAGTCTTTTTCTTGTTAAGCTGTTATTTATTCTCAGAGAGAGGGGCAGGAAGGGAGAAAGGGGGGAGGAATGTGGACATGGGAGAGAGAAACATCGATCCATCGCCGCCCCTCACACATCCCCAACCAGGGCCGGCCTGCCACCTAAGCGTGTACCCCCACGGGGCATCCAGCCAGTGACCCCTTGGCTTGCCGGATGACACCCAACCCACTGAGCCACACCAGTCAGGGCGAGACAACTGTTTTGTGCAGAAGAATTCCGAATAATGTGTGTAGACACTTCATCCTAGATAGAGGGGAGGGGGGGCATAGCTCGCACCCTTCAAGTGTGGGCTGCCCCGGGACTTCCTCCCCAAGAGGGCGGTGCGCAGAGCGGGCAGGAGGGACTGACTTTACCGCGGAGACACCTGGCGGACACTAATGCACCCAGGTGACGGAGGCCAACACCGACAGGCAGGCATGCATCATGGTGATGGTATGTACCCTTGACATATGATACATGATGCAAATGTGATTTTGCTCCCGGAAGCCCATGGCCCCTGTCTGATCATGAGAACACCATGTGGCACATTCCAGTGCCAAGCACCTGACCAGGGCTCCTCAGGGCTGCCAAGGGCATCGAAAGCAAGTCTGAGAAACTGTCACGGGCCGGAGCCCCAGAAGACAAGAGCTAAGCAGGCCGTGGTGTCCAGGACGGGACTCTGGAGCAGAAAATAGAAATTGGGTAAACGAAGGGAATCTGAACAAACTATAGGCTTTAGTTAATAATAATGTATCAATATTGGTTTATCAATCATAAAAATGTGCCATTATAATAGAGGGTGTCAGTAACAGGAGAAACTGTGTTAGGGGAAACTCTACTATCTTCTTTTTTTCTGTAAATCTAAAACTGCTCTAAAAAAATCTACTAAAAATTACAACCCCTCCAGCCCCCCATAATCCTTTTTCCATTGTGCTTCTCACCATTCAGCACACTCTGCATTGAACTTGGTACTGTGCCAGCACGGAAGACCCCTAAGGGTTTTTGCCTCTTTACTGTTTCAATTGGCAGTAATCACGCCCCGATGAACCTCATCGGCTACGATACTGCCGCTGCGCAAAGTTTGCCTCTTCACTGTATCCCTCCAGCACCTGGACTGGTCCGAC